GGGAATGGGTTTTGTCCATTTTTTTTGTCACTCAGAGACCTAGGCTGACAGTCTTTGTCCATCATTCTAGAATGCTGGCAGATGTCATTGCAGAGGGAAGTAAATAGTGATCAATTGATAGTAGTGGAAACTTTAAAGCCAGAAAAGGCACATACCACTTTTTTTATATATTGTTGGCCAAAGCAAGTCATATGAGCCTCACATAATGTCAAGGAAATGGGAAAGGCATAGTTGTGCTATCTGCCTTGAGAGGGCAGCTGGAAATTCTTTTTTTTTTTGGAGACAGAGTCTTAACTTTGTTGCCCTTGGTAGAGTGCCATGGCGTAGCAGCTGACAGCAACCTCAAATTCTTGGGCTCAAGTGATTCTCTTGCCTCAGCCTCCCAAGTAGCTAGGACTACGGGTGCCCACTACAATGCCTGGCTGTTTTGAGAGATGAGGTCTTCCTCTGGCTCAGGCTGGTCTTGAACCTGTGAACTCAGGCAATCCACCCACCTCAGCCTCCCAGAGTGGTAGGATTATAGAGCTGTAATGACTATCATGGTTTGTTCCGCTGGTTGCTAAGTATTTGGGTTACCCTTTACATTATAGGTAGTACACTAACTTAGCAAACCCAGGTTTCTATCTAGAAACTACATTGATCTGAAACTCTGGATTTGAATGACGTTCAAAGTCTGTCAATCAAATTAAAAGGAGGTTCTTCTTGGTTCAGATGATTATGAATGAAATAAATAAATATTCAGTTGGCTTGTTAAAAAATCATCCTATTAGTACTTTTTTAGGTTCCTTGGTTGGAGTGGAGATGCAAAGGGAACTTTCACTTTTAACTCTCCATATGTCTGTGTGGTTAGGATTTTTTTTTTTAACAGTGAACAGGTAGTATGTAAAAATAAAAAACAATTTTGTTTATTTTGAGATTTCCCTCTGTTGCCCTGGACCAGAGTACAGTGGCATCATCATAGCTCACTGAAACCTCAAACTCCCAGTCTCAAGCAGTCCTCTTGCGTCAGCCTTACTTACCACGCATAGCTAATTTTTCTATTTTTGTGTAGAGACTGGATCTCACTGTGTTGCCCAGGCTGGTCTCGAACTCTTGACCTCAAATAGTCCTCCCAGACTGTTAGGATTACAGGTGAAATCCTATTTAAAAAAGATGAAATAGTTTGGCTTGGCGCCTGTAGCACAGTGTTTACAGTGTCTGCCACATGCACTGAGGCTGGCAGGTTTGAAACCAGCTGGGGCCAGCTAAACAACAATTACAACTGCAACAAAAAATAGCTGGGCATTGTGGTAGGTGCCTGTAGTCCCAGCTACTTGGGAGGCTGAGGCAAGAGAATCGCTTAAACCCAAGAGTTTGAGGTTGCTGTGAGCTGTTACGCCATGGCACTCTACCCAGGGCAACATAGTGAGACTGTCTCAAAAAAAAAAAAAAAAAAAGAAATAGTTTAAGAGCTTAACATAAGGTACTGTAGAAGAATTCTCTTATCTCCTATTCTTACTAAATGAAATAATGTATAAATAAGTACCTGGTTAGGACCTGGAATTTAAGACTTAACTTTCTAATTTCCTGTGCTTTTCAGTATACCAAGATGACTCTTCTAATGCATGAGCTTCTAAACATTAATAGAAATGTAGATTTTTTTTTTTTTTAATTTGTGATGAACATAGCAACAAAAAGAGCTCTTTACTTTGAAGAGAATGACTTTTGGGATAGTAATACTTAAAAGTGAAGAAAGGGCTTGGTGCCCGTAGCATAGGTGTTACAACATGGGCCACATGCATTGAGGCTGGGTTGGAGCCCGGCCCGGGCCAACTAAGCAACAATGACAACTACAACAACAACAAAAATAGCTGGGTGCTGTGGCGGGCTCCCGTAGTCCCAGCTACTTGGGAGGCTGAGGCAAGAGAATCGGTTAGAGGTTGCTGTGAGCTGTGATGCCATGGCAGTCTACCGAGGGTGATATAGTGAGACTCTGTGTCAAAAACAAACAAACAAAAACAAAGTGAAGAAAGGAGATTGAAGAAAGTACCTTGAGAGGAGGACCTGAGGGAAAGGGCAGTATATTCTGATAGGGAGCGTAATGGCACATATTAACTAGTTTCCAGTTTGAAGATCTTTTCTGGAGTACTTAGTTTTATTTATTTTATTCACTGACTTTCAAGGGAACAGCTTACAAAGCCAACAGAAGGATGGAAAAGTTCATTGTTTGTCCTTATGTAAAATGTTCATTAGAAAATACAGAGCTTGCTTTGTCTTTAAAGTAGGAAAAAGGAAAATGTGTGTCATTTATTTATTATGGTCTGCCTTCTATAAATGAGAAATGAAAACAGTTTTTCCTTATTACGACTGAAGTATATCTTATTATAGGGAAAAAACATAAGCAAAACTAAAACCCCAAAGTGCCCACTTTCCTGTAGGGAGATAGCAGTTATTAAAGTTCTAGTGTATATCTTTTTAAAATCTTGTGCATGTGTATCATTTGGGTTGTTAACCAAAATGTATACAAAGCATGCCTGCAATTTTTTGTTGATTATATATTTTTTACTTTATGTATTTTGAAACTTCTGTAATGAAAATTGAAGGAGAAAAGAGTTTTTTATTTTTCTCTCTTTTTAGAACTTCTTTGGCGTTTCCTTCTTTGTATTTAACATCCAATACTTCTGTCTTACAGTTTTTATTGTCATTCGTTTCTTCAGATTAAGTTCCTTGAAGGCTTCTGTATTCTCTATTCTGCTGAGCTCATATTAAGTTGTATAAGAACAGGACATACATTGACAGAAATAATTGTAGGAGGAAAGCAGAAAACATGTCAGCAGTTATTTTAGGGTACCAATCAGTCACTAATTCCTTTTGTAGTCTACTGTTGCTTAATTTGCTGGTATAACCAAGAGCTAGAGAAGTACAAATTTGTGTATAGATATTAAAGTCCTAAAAAAAAAAAAGTCCTTCCTTTTTTTTTT